AAAAAGCTGATGAATTTGCCGGAGCTTCTGTAGGATTTTCTAGCGCTTGGGGAAGGTCATGTATACCATGCGGGGAAAGATGCATTACTGTCGCGGGCTGTGTCCCAATGGCAGGAGTAGGAGGCTTGCCTCGCATTCTTGTCTTCGCCTTGGCCTTCCTGATAAGTGCGGCCGTTGTGATCCGCCGTGATAGCAATGGTTTGTGTTGGATGGGATTTATTTTCGAGGGGTTTTGCCCGGGCGCCGGGTTTCCCCTCGACCACCGTATTGGCATTTTATTGATGTATCCGGGGTGTTTTTGCCCCACTGATGGTTAGTCACTTGCGTGAAGAACCAGGGAGGGTGTTCGTGGGTCTACGGACATGGTTTGGATATGTTAGCCGTACGTACAAGTGTGACGCAGATGGTGTAGAACCTTTTAGGTAGGGGTACGGTGATGATGCACCGGGGCCCCCTTTTGTTGTGTGCAGCAGCCCTGCTGCCACTCCTCCTCTCTGAGCACGACAGCGCCCTGGGTACGGGCGTTGCCTCACCGTCTGAAGTTAATACACTACACAAACAATACCCGATAAGTACGCGGAGTACGGCCGACAAACAGCAGCTACTACCACAAGGAGAGGCTATCTATAAGCGCTAATGCTACCGCCACCCCCCCGTCACGGGGGTGTTCGTCAGCCACCCTCGAAGCCCCAGAACCAGCGATAGCGGCGTGTTGTCTTGGCTATCAGTAGTTAGTGTTGATCGTGAGTGGAATGTGCAGAGTTTTTGCCTTGAGTGTTGGCCTCAGGTGTTTGTGGTGGGGCAAAGTTGTGGGATGTTTCTTGTCTGGTGTGGGCTTGCTATGCTTTGTATGCAAAGGTAAACGGTGATATGGGGTAGCTAGCCTATATAGCTAGGTGATTGCCCGGGGGCTGAGTATTGGGATGTGAGTGAGGAGTAGTGAAAATGCGCGGTGAGACATGCATCCATCCCTGTTTCCGAATGCCCCCAGGGAATGCGTCCTTTGGACTAGAGACAAGAGGCATGCCGCATTGCATTGCAGCAGAACCCACTCACTCGTGGCGGACGTATGACGTATGGCGTAGTCCCCATGCGTGCATCAAATCTGTAACTAACTCCTGTTCCGGCTTTCCTGCGATACTTGTTGTGCTGATGAGCTGCCCTTGGGATTGGTTGCTGGTTCATTTGTTGGTTTGGAGTGGTGATTCACGTTTCGGTATTGATGCTGGTTCGCTTGTTTGTTGCAGTTGCCGGCTCTCTTGTAGGTAGGAACTTCGTGAGGAACATTCACCAACACGCGGCACAGGTTCTCGACACTTCCTGCATCTCTACCAAGTAGTATGATTGTGTTCTTTACGTCCTCAGCTTGGAATTTTGATCTCCAGACTACTGCACAGTACACGGGAAATCCCCTCAACCAACAAATCCAGCTCTCCACTGCTATCACTCTTGTGGCACGCATTGGTAGCGGAAGACGAATCGCCATACGAGAGGGCAACGTTGCCATTAAGACGGTTAGGATTGGCCCCACGAAATGTAAGCCTTACCGCGGTAAGTGAATCGCTGGACCCCTTAGATCCAAGATCGCAGCCTGGGTCCAAGTATGACGGCTACCCATACACGAACACGGCCGGTTGCACATGCACCTTCTTCCTGCGTTCTTGCCTGGACCACGGATGGATATGTATGTATTGCTGCATATGCACATTCATATATCTGCATATTCCCGGGGTCTTTGCATATTTTGTTGTTGCCGGGCGTGATGCCTGCAATCTGAAAGTAGAGGTCAGCAGGGCATGTATGCATTGGAATTTGGAATGCTACACATCGTAGCGAAGCGACATTCACCACCAGATTGTGATTTTATTTTATTTTGTAAAGCTCCCTTTTCGAGATCATGGAGTGAAGCGGTTCACTCCCAGGCTCGTTTCATCAAGGCGCAAGCTTCGGCAGAAGTGACTTCCTCAGAAATGCACCTTCTTTCCCGGCGTCTCGTCTCTTTCTCTCTCTCTCTCTCTCTCTCTCGCTCTCTCTCTCTCGCTCTCTCTCTGCCTCGCTCTTTCTTGTGTCACCGTACATCGTTTTATGTAGTGTCGCACCTCTTTTCACCAAATGAACTCACACCGAATGGCAAAGGCGTTTCATTGCTCAGTGCTCTCAGCTGTCCAGCCTGTTTTTCATTGGCTTGTCGGCCTGGTTGTTTCCCGTTGTGGTTGGCTGGTGCGATTGTTGGCAATGGTTGTGGTTGACTTGTTGGTTTGGATTGTTGATTGACTTGTCGGTATTGATGCTGGTTCGCTTGTCTGTTGCGGTTGCCGGTTCTCTTGCCGGTAGGAACTGAGTACTTGTATGAGACAGTAACCAACCCCGCCGCACAGTTCTTGAAATTTCATGCATCTGCAGGTTTTCGTTTTTCGTCTTCAGCTTGGGGCCTTTGATCGCCACACATGGAAAATCGCCTACGCCAACAAAATCAAGAATTCACTGCAACATTTGTCGCACGCAATGACAGAAGGAGACAACGACAGACGCTATATGAAGGCTACGTTGCCATTTAGGCGTTTAGGATTGGAACCAAGAAATTTGAAACTTGTACGTGACCATCGGTGAATGGTCTTGTTCCAACAGCGCACACCCCGGTCGGAATACAACTGCCACGCATACAAACATGCTTTGGGATTTGGAATGTGAACCACGGCGTAGCGAAGAGACCCTCACAACCTTTCGTACCGTGTTCGAAATCACACATCACACCCCGCCACTGTTTGCTCCAACCAGGACCGAGCGGTCGCCAAATTCGAGGTCGCCCGCGGCCGGTGACACGGCTTGCCAACCGCACCTACCTTCAAAGACGGGTATTCTACGCGTACCAGGGGAGCTACAGAAGAGCGAGAGCCTCAGTTAGGCGATCTGTAGTTTTAACCAAATGCAGACTACACCCCTTGACCGACGTCGCGGCGCCAGAGCTATGTAGTGTTCTGCTGCAAACGCAGACAACGCGGTCCCCACCACGACGACGTAAACAGTGCCGGCCTCCAAGACGTAACCAAACCGTTACGGAAAAAAAAATGGAAAAAGAAACTTAGCATTATTAAAGCGTTCAACAAGGTTCGCGTTCAGGTGCACACGCTCGAAGGAGTAGCAACACCAGTCGAGGACATGCAGGACGCCAGTATATCCGGAAAGGCGGGCCGGGGAGGGAAAGATTGACGGAAACTAGGAAATTCCGGTCTTGGGTAGAAGAAAAAAATGACAGGAATCAAGTTACACGTCACGACCCCCACCACAAATACACAAGTTGTTTTCCCTGCCTACACGAAGAAGCATACGACGCAACGGAGACTGGGCAGGTCACTACTTCGGTACCGTGTCCAGCTCTTAGTGCATACAGCTGTGTACTTAATACTCAAAGAACTACCCTAACGACATCCCCCGCCCCCACACCATTAATGATGGTATCATGCCAGTCAAGATACCCAAAAATAAAACAGACTTCCAGTTCGACGCTCTCCGCACGCTGCCGCATATATTTACAGCTCGAACGCTCGCTTGCTCTCGCTATCATTACCGCCACCACTACAATCTCTATTTATACCGCCTACCGGTACCGCATGGGGGACCCCGTCAAAACAATCTCGACATCATCTCGGGGAGGGGGGGGCGTATGCTCCGTGAACACTCGTTGCCGTAGAATAATCAGGGCCACAAAAGGGCAGGGGGGAAAAAAGAAAAAACTGATCAAAAGCGGGGTGATCATTAAAATTTTACAGGAATATGCCCTTTTGCCCCTCGCTGGCGCTGTGTTTCTCCCGAAGGGGTATGCCAGCCTGTTTGTTTGACCTCCGCCGAAGGTCCAAGCCGGAGGGGAAAACGTTCTATCTTCCTATTTGACCTCCACCGAAGGTTCAAGCCACAGCCTTCCCGATACATCCATCCCCCTCCGCCCTACTTGGCGCCGCGGGAAAACGGCCACGACGCCGCGGGAAGGGAGACCTTCCCTCCCTCCCTCCCTCCCTCCCTCCCTCACATCTTGTCGGAATGAACACGATGATACCGAAACGACGACGATCAACAACCATAGACTACAAGACATCCTCAACCAGCCCCACCCCCGCCCGAACAGCATAATCCTCCCCCCCGACGACCGTTCAACCACCAAAACAGTCGACCGTTACAATAACACTATTACAAATAGGGGGGCCCGTGCCGTCACCGGGGCAAGTCAGAGAGCACCCACATGCCTGCAATTTCATCTTCCTGCGCACAGACTACCGCCCGCGCCTGCCTCTAGAAAGCCCTACGAGCCCCCAACTACATACCGCTGCTGCCCCCGCGTGGCACACGCATGGATTACCAGCCTCTGGTTCATCGCAGCCTGGGCCGATGAAACCCCGGTATTTCGGTCCGTCCCGGCGTTGGAGGGATGCGAGGTCAATGGTCTAGAGGCTACGGGATGCGATTACATTAGTACAATCCTCCCCCCGGCCCGACCCCTGCTGCTGCTCTTATTCCGCTCCCAACTCCTGCCAACACTGTCGCAAGACGACATTGCCAAACGCCTGCTGTGCTGCAGTGCAAGGACCAAACTCTGGCGCTATGCAAGGCCTCTAATTTCAAAGGATAAATCGAAAAAAAAACTATGCATTTCTTTCACAGTCACCACTGCCGGTGTGTAGCACGCCGTTTCCAAGAATGGCACCGCCATGTGGTAAACTAGCAACCCCCCCGTTCCTTGTTCCTTGTTCCGTTCAACTAATCCGCTTTCCCGCCGTGTTAATCCCGGCTACCCAACGAACGTGAAATGATTCACGGAGTGCCGCGCCGCGGGTTTATCCAACCCTCATACCCCCCCCGGTACGAATTAACTGCGGAATCCCAACGATCCGCAAATCCGAGATGGACCAGATATCCGTTCACACGTTGCGGCACAACCCCCTCGCCACCTGAAACCGTACACAGAAAAACCTCAACCTAAAACATCCCACCAAAGTCTTGCTCGCCTACCGCCCCATCTTGTCCAAGAAATACTCCACCGCGGGCACCTGGAGTGGAAAAAAAACGCAGAGAGAGAGAGAGAGAGACCAACAACGCGCGACGTTGCATCCAGGGAAGCATTGGGATAGGTTTAAGGTCCGGAACAGAAGATCATAAGCCAAGCCATCTAACGGAGGGGGTGGGTACTCATGTTTTGCATGCTTTAGCTGTTTGGCCATTGACCACGCGTGCTCCAGAGGACGGCGCATTCCTTCCCAAAGGACCAGGTTTCAAATTCTTAGGTCCTAGGGATGGCCGCTGCACTCACTGCGGTGTACAACAACCCGTGAAAAAACCTTTCCGGCACGTCCTCTCGGGTCACCCTCAGGAGGCTAGACACCCAGGTGGGGGGGGGGGCTTGTAGGTTAAAGACTGTTATGTAAATACGGACCGTTTCGCGAGAAACTAGATTCATGAGGGCATAAAACAAAGGAAAGGGTACGCAGACCCTATCCCTAAAACTAACCCAATTGCCCCGACTGCATGCTTTATCCAACATGTTTACAGAATACGAAAACCCTGCCAAGGCTACTGTACCGATGAATACCTGATTCCCCAGGCAAGGGATGTCCAGAGGGCTACATTGCCGTTCGTCCAGCGAGAACACGTCAGCGCCGTTCTGGATAAGGAAATCGCAGCACCTACACATGTAGCCAGCAAAACAGGAAAAAAAACGGAACATACAAGACAAAAGCATTCGCGGAACATATATAAACTTACTGGGAGTTAACACGCGCCACCATTACCCACGTTGCTCTGGTTGCTCTCTCTGCTGCGTAAACTGCACCATCTTTGCTGACACGGCCTGCTATTTCAAGCAGACTGCCCAGCATGACCCTTGTCTCCACCCTCTCCGGGGTGCTGATCCTGTTGGTGGTGATGGCAGACCTCACCCACGTGTGACAGGTGGGTATACCACAGGTGGCTGAGGTCTGCAAATCTTCCGAACAGGATCAGCACCTCGGGGAGGATTTAATGACAAGATTTATGCTGGCAGGCCGTGTCATTGAAGATAGTCAGCTCACGCAGAGAGCGACCGCCGGAGCAGAGCACGTGGGTGAACAACAAACACAAAAGACACGTTCGCGACTACGACCGATGATGATTAAGCCAACTTCGAGCAATGAGGACCAAGGCAACAGAACGCCAGTCACAACAACCACGACAGCAGAGCACAGGCAAACCACAACAACAGTGGACAGGTTTGGTGGGTGGGAGGCCGTCAAGGCTAGAAAGAGGCACCGCACCGTCAACATCTCACGGTACATACATGGTACCAGTTATGCAGCAAGCGGGACTGGGGGTACGGACGCTTGGAGGGGGACAAGCGCGCGAACCGTGCGGCGGAGCTGTTGTTGACCTCGCATTACAAAACCAGTCCCGGTATCCGCTCGTACCTTCCAATATCCGTACTGGTCCAACTGACGCGAACGCTTCCGTGGTTACAGACTTTCTTGTAGGCACACGGTTCTAGAAATCAAAGAATGTAAAATATAATGTCGGGAGTGCACTCTCAAGTCTCCCTGGCTCTTCTTTCTCACCCCAGTTCCCCAGTTGCCGCGGCGAAATGCAGGGCTGTCCTGTGCTGATCGTCGGGGTTCGTCCATCGTGGGTCACCCCCTATCAACAACGAACGATTGGCAGAAGAGCGTAGGCAGCAAATCACACGGCTCACATACACACTGGAGACTGACAGTTTTTCAATCGTCAGCTGGTGTTGTAGCCCGGTCGATCCCAACAACTAGAAAAACAAACATACACACAACTATTCAGCACACAGAAAAGAAACTCTGGACTTGTGTGCAGGACAACCGCACCGTTTCGTTGCAAAAACAAACCAAATCATGACGAGGACAACCAAAAACATATCATAGAGACACGCGGCCACGTTTGAAACCCTTGCAAGCAACAAGCGGACGTTTGTCGCAACGATCACTAGAACTATACAAGCACACGAACGACAGAGAGGCAAGCCACCACTTTCGAAAACCTACGGACAGCAAGCAGGATAGTACACACACACCACGGGCCGTCTCCTCGTATGTCATCGCGGGCCAGCACCCCAACGGCTCCGTCGAGAAAATGGCTTGATATGTTTCAGCGGTAGGTTAGGGGTGCCACCTAGAGGCCACACAGGCATACCTCCCGTAGCAAACAAAGAGATATATGAAAAGAAACAACGGGATAATTGTTTCACTCTTAACTTACCTGGTGTGTTAGGAGCGCCGAAAGAGGTCACAGAGGCAACACTCCCGTAGCAACAAAAAGAAAATATGGAATAAAAAATACCAATACTTTTTCGGTCTTTACAGCCTGGTATGTTAGGGGTGCCAGAAACAAAATAAGCCGCAAACGCTGCTGGTGTGTCAGCCTGTCTCACCGTGGGCCAAAGCCTCGACGGCTCCCGCCAGATCCCCCAACGCCGCGCACTCCGACAGCCGCAACGACCACATCTCCGCCCGGCCCCCCTTCACACCGTCGCCGCTCCCGCCCGTCGAGTCCCCGTCCACACCGCCGCCGTCCCTGCTAGATCGCCGGCTATGGCTGCTGCTGCCGTCACCGCCTCCTTCGGAGCTACAGTACTGTGGTCTCCTTCTCCCCCTCGCGTCGCGCCCCAGCCCCCGCCCACCACAAGCCGGCTCGTGGACCCCTCTGCAAAACGTTTCCAGACGTGTTGGCCTGGAGATGTGTGCCACCACGCGTCGGCAAACACAACGCACGGCAGGAGAAAAACAGAACGGCTGGTGGGGCGGGAAGGGGGACATCTTGTTCGGTGTGGGGGATCATGCGTTATAGTTGTGGCGTGTAAATATCGCCGCACAATTGATTCGCCATCACAGGGTACTTTCCAAGTGTTCGGTAGCGACCGACCGACCAACAACTTACCTCAAATTACTCATGACAAAGAGCATGAACTCATGCACAAGCTAAGGGCGGGGTAATGCTGGGAACAACAGACAACAATGCGTTGGATGACCTGACTTCCTTCAACTTGTTGACCTACGAAAAACCCCGCTTCAAGACGACAAGCTAGGGCTGCAGATATCACTCTAAAGTACAAAGCATGCGGGTTTGGACTCGTTCGATTTTTTCCGTTTTGGTGGGTGTACATGCGGTGAGCATCGAAAAAAAAAAAAAAACACACACACACACAAGTGTACCCGACCGTGTACGTGAACCGGTCCTTCGTCATACGCTGGTGCAGCAGCGACTAACTCGAGCGAGAGGAGAGAGACATTGAACGTCGAAACAAATAGTGTTACAAACTGCGCTAAATACTACTATTGTGGGGCCACTAGAGTCCGCCCAACGCAAGAACGCACACAGGCACACCTTTGCCGTAAAGCCGGTGTCGGTGGAATCCGGGAAGTGCCCCCCTAAGCAGGTCTGCCATCACGAAGCCCGTCAGGCTTGGCGTCAGGTTCCGTCCCTGCAGGTTTACGTACGTCCTCGTGCGAAGGGTACCGATGATGCTCGCGGAGGTTCGCGTAGGTGGAGGGACGCCCGACCCCCTTCGCCTCGAGCTCCTTGATGAAGCTGGCCTCAGAAAACCTAGCGGGGTGGGGGTGGGGGCGACGGGAAATCTGAAGTAAGAAAACACACGAAGTGGGGGACTGCTTACCCGAGAAGGGGTTCAAAGGGGTGTGGGGTGTCGTGGGAGTTCCTTGGTATGAACCTTCGGCGACACCAGCCGACGACGAGCGAAACAACAACATCCACCAACAGGACAAGAACGCGAACCACGAACACAGAACAGCATCACCAGCATCACCAGCATCACCAGCAGCAGCAGCAGCAGCAGCAGCAGCATCACCAGCATCACCAGCAGCAGCACCAGCACCAGCAGCACCAGCACCAGCAGCACCAGCAGCACCAGCAACCGCAACAAACAAACAAAACAAAAGACAGGAGCAACAACGACGACGACGATTCCTTCAGCTTTACCCGGCCGTTGCCTGTCTGGGTTACGCCAGCCTACCACCGGGCCTGCCTTGTCTTATCTTGTGGTGCGCATACCCTAACCTGCCTTCTAGGGGGTGACGTGACGTACTGTGTGCCGCTGGCCTAGCGTCTTCGCACACCACTTTCCCTCCCTCCACCAACAACGGTAGCTCGGTCTCTTGGTCATCCCCTACACAAGCGGTACAGCCGTGTTGCGACACCCGCGAGGGGGGAGGGGGGGGTGGGGTCAGGGAGTGTAAAGGTGGCGGATACTCGATGAGGTGTAGATTGTGCGCACTTAGGGAAACACCAGTACAGCAGTGAACAAGGTAACCTAGCTCCTGACCTCAAGTAGATACGCCATGAAGAGGGTTAGCAGGAAAAAATGAGCGGACCAGAGGGTGCAAAGAAACCATTCCCCAACCAGCAGTGTGTGTCGTTTCAACAACATGATGCTCTTTGGCTGGCTGAGCTATATGTAGGCCAAATAGCTCAAACAGCTGACGAACGTCCAGACTCTACAATACACACGTTGTTGTTGGTGATGCCTCGTGGTGTGGGCCATCGCTACATCTGCACGCACGGCCGAGTGATCCATCCTCGCGCACCTTCCGTCGCAGCGTCAAGCGGGAACAGGTTCGTAGACCCCCTCCTCCCGGTACACCTTCAAGAACCCCTCGAAAAGCGTCGTCATGCCCGACGCCTTCAGCACCACGTCCACCACTTCCTGCTTCCGTGGAAGGTCGTAAACGCCGTTGTTGATAAAATCAAGGTCAGGGCTGTAGGCGTCATGGTAAGGTAAACCTGTTGTTGCTACTTGCGGTTCAAAGGGTGTTGTTGTTGCTCATGGTTATGGTCCAACCCGTGGTTGCTACTTGTAGAAAGAAAACCCCAAGGACACCTTCCAGCCATGTGCCAACCAGCGCAAGTCGTGTAATATGACCAAACAGAAAATAACCCAGAGAGAGCTGCACTACCCTGAGGGTTGGGGTCCCTCCCGAAAACTTGTACACAAAACCATAAAATCAACTTGTACACGCCGGAGTCACGTCCCCGAGAGATTCAGCCCTCTCCGACGTTTGTACGTGGGGGTAGGACGAAAACGCGTACGGAAAAAGCGCTTGCGAGGTGGTACAGAGAGCAACAGAGGGGAGGGGCTTGAGAGACAACAAATACAACAACTAATACTCCGTTTCTCAAGCCCCCCCCCGTAATCGTACCACCGCTAGAGTACGCCGGAGAAGTATGGGAAGTAAATAAGAAGGTAGTGAAAGAACTCGAGGCGGCGCAGATGAAAGCAGCGAAAATCATCCTAGGATGCTCCAAGCGCACAAGTAATGCAGCCGTAAGGGCAGAATTGGGGATCCAATCCCTACGGTCGGGAAGAGACGCAAGGAAGCTGACATGGCAGTATCGCATGTGCGGGATGGGAGAGGAGAGGTTGCCGAGAATAGTATGGGAGGCGAAGTGGGCAAACAAAAAGAGGGGTAGACAACCCACGGAATGGGTCAAGGTTGTAGAGGACGTATGGAAGGGGTTAGACATCGACGAAGATGAAACGCTGGAAACGGAGGGTCTACAGGGGTTCAAGGAGAAGATATTTGTTGCTTGTGCCGAGAGAGAAGAACGGAATCTAAGGAAAGAAACCAAGGATAAGGAGGGTCTAGAAGTGCACGGAATGTTGAAAGAAGGACTAGGGTTCAAGGATTACCTACATGGACCGATGGATGCAGGGACAACGCTTAAGGTCAAATTCAGGACCGGGGACATAGGCCTTCGAGAACGTCGACGAAGACATAGGACGGTAGACGACGAAGACGACAAGTTCAAATGTGATTGCGGCTTCGAATGCGAAGACCGTGTTGATGTAGTCGCGGAATGTCCGTGGTACGAAGAGGAGAGGGAAGTGTACATGACTGAGCTGGGAAAAATACAAGGGACGTACAGAGAGATGTTTGAGGCATGGAATAGAGAGGAGAGGACGGTAGCTGTACTGGGGAGTAGGAAGTGGTTTGAAAAGGCGGGAAGGGATATCGTTAGGATAAACAGACTAGGGAAGACGTTTTTGAGCCACCTTTGGCAAAGTAGGAAGGAACGATTGGCCATTGGTGATCGGTCCTGTGGGAACAATGCTCCGTCCTCTCGAGGACGCGTGGTCAATGGTCTAACCGCTAAGACATGCAAAACATAAGAGTACGTCCGCCCCCCCCCCCCCCCCCCCCCCC